GGCCCTAGGCAAGTGACATATTTCTCTTGGCTAGCAACCCACACTGTTGGAAATGAAAAATGATGATGATTAGTTGGGATACTGCCTCTGTGCACTAATCTAGATGAGCTGTTTATTTCCCTGTGGTAACACTGATGGAAATTTGAATTTCTTCTGGGAAAGGAAGGTCTGCAAGATAGTATCATAACTGAAAAGTCATAGAATTGAAGTTTAAATCCCAGCTTGGCCATTTACCAGCTATGTGACCTGGTACAGGTTATGTAACTTCTCAGAGCCTTAGAAGTCTCAAATGAAAAGCATAACAAAAGCTGCTATTTACTGATCATTTATAAATGCTAAGCAGTGTGCTAAGGTACTATATATTCTTATTTCTTATGTAATATCCAGTAGCAATCTTATGAGATACAGCTATTATTTTATGTATTTTACTGATGAGAAAACAGAAGTTTAGGGAAATATAGAGAGGGTTATTGTTAAGGCCAAATTAAAAAAATTTTTTTTATGTATTTATTTTTGAGGTAGAAACAGAGCATGAGTGGGGGAGGGGCAGAGAGAGAGGAAGACACAGAATCCGAAGCAGGCTCCAGGCTCTGAGCTGTCAGCACAGAGCCCAATGTAGGGCTCGAACCCACAAACTGAGATCATGACCTGAGGCAAAGTCGGATGTTTAACCCACTGAGCCACCCAGGCGCCCCAAGGCCAAATTTAGATGAGATAACGTGTAGTTAACATGAGCACATATAAAGGGGCCAATGAATGACAGTATTACTGTGATCACTCAACATTTTTCAAGTAATAAAACTAAGTCATTTACATGATATGGCCTAAATAAGATTCATTTACTCAAAAAATATTTTATGGAGCACTTACTATGGCCATGTATAATGCTCAATGCTGGAGAAACAGGAGGGAATAAGACAGATATGATCTCAGCCCTAAGGTAGTTCCCTTTAGTGTGAGGGAGACAGGCACATAAACATTTATAGTTCAGCCTGGGAAATGCTGTGATGGAGCAAGAATAGGCTGCTTTGGGAGTCAGGGAAGATTTATCAGATGTAATGATGCCCTCTGGGTTTGTATTTGAAGAATAAATTGGAAGTGAGGATGGAAGGAAAGGCAGAGGAGGCAGTAATTATGAAGGCTGGAGGGGAGACAGTACATGCCGAGTTTAAGGAAATGAAAATAGTTTTGTGTAGAGGATTTTAGAAAAAGTGTGGAAAGTGAGCCTGGGGAGATGGACAGGTGCCATATTTTGAAAGGCTTTGTAAGCCCTGCTACCAGAGTTTGACCTTTCTTTTTAGGTAATTGGAGAGCCTCTGAAAGGTTTTGACATAACAGAGGTATGATTTTGGTGGAAGTTAGGGGAATAATAAGAGTAGCTTTGGATACATTATCTCATTTAATCTTTACACCAACACTTGGAGGTAGGTATTATTATCTTGATTTTAAAGATGAATAAATTGGGACTTGGAGAGTTCACTACATTTACAAAATTCACACATTTAATAGGAAGTGGAGTCACATATCCTTGTTTTTTTTTTAACGTTTGTTTATTTTTGAGAGAGAGAGAGAGAGAGAGAGAGAGCATGAGTAGGGGAGGGGCAGAGAGAGAGGGAGATACAGAATCCAAAGGAGGCTCCAGCACAAAGCCCGAGGCAGGACTCGAACCCACAAACCATGAGATCATGACCTGAGCCACCCAGGCATCCCATACCCTTGTATTTCTGACCCTAAATCTATGTTCCTGTATTGTCTCCAGCTAGTAATGATTTGTTGTGACCTATTTTGTGTTTACCCTGTGGAAAGTTCTCATTCATGCTTATAGTGTTATTTGCATACTCACTGTTAAAGAATTTCACAACCATTATTTGCTGTTCTTAAAAATTATGAATTAGGTCATGTTTTCTCTGTTTTATATATATGAAAGTAAACTGAGCCTTGAGGTATGGGACCATTCATGGTCCCATACACCTAGAAAGTGGTAGAGCTGAGACTTGAACACCATGTTCTTGACAGAGGAAAACTTTTTTATGGCTACCTTGTGAACATGCCACATTTCTTTTTTTGGGTCTTTGTCTCTATTCACCGGTGAATGTTTATAAGGCTCTTTCCTTCCAGGTTTTGGAGATCACATTCATTGGAGGACACTAGAAGATGGGAAGAAGGAAGCAGCTGCAAGGTACAAGATATGGTTTTAGGTTATTTATAGTGGAAGGGGTGCCTGGCTGGCTCATCAGATAGAGCATGCAACTCTTGATCTTGGTGTCACAAGTACAATCCCACATTGGACCTAGAGATTGCTGTAAAAATAAAATACATTCAGCAGGTTATTTATGGTGGTAAAACACTTTCCAGCCATCAGCTTAACATTAATTTCAGGTGAAGGATTATGCCAAAACAGAGCCAAAACTGGGGAGTTGCCTGATGATAACAACAACAACAATACTAGTCGAGGTGCCTGGGTGGCATAGTTGGTTGAGCATCGGACTCTTGGTTTCACCTCAGGTCATGATCTCACAGTTCCTGGGATTGAGCCCCACATCAGGCTCTGTGCTGACATTGCGGAGCCTGCTTGGGATTTCTCCCTCTCTCTTTCTGCCCCTCCCCTGCTCGCTCTCTCTCTCTCTCTCTCTCTCAAAAAATAACCAAATATTTAAAAAAAAGCACTACTAGTTAACATTTAATAAGTGCTTAGTATGCACCAGACACTGAATTATGTGAATTAACTCATTTAATTCTCACAAGAATTCTTTTGAGGTGGCTAATGCTGTTACCTTCATTTTAGAGATGAGAAAACTAAGGCACAGAGCAGTTAAGTAACTTCCTCAAGATCACGTAGCTAGTAAGCGGTGGAGCCAAGATTCAGACCCAGGCACTATGGCATTAGAGCCTGCACTCCACCAGTAAACCACACTGCCTTACAGTCTCAAGTTGAATAGTCTCAAGTTTCAGTTAGGTTTAGTCTATGCACTGATGCAAATAACTGATGCAAAGGAGAAGAAAAGGCAGAGCAGGGGAGGGAAGGCTAAACACTGATCTAAGTGCTTTACATACATTAATTTATTTAATCTTCGTAACCTATGAGGTTGGTTCAGCCTGTGAAATAAGAACTGTTGTTATTGTATGGGAGAGGAATTGAGACACAGAATGATTAAATAATTTGTCAATTGATTACACAGCTACTAAGTGATAAAGCCAATACTTGAATGTTCTCTATTGTACTGTACTGGAGAGATACAAAGACCCAAAATATGTGCATCTACTTTATTAAAAAAATGTTTTAATGTTTATTTTGAGAGAGAGAGAGAGAGAGCAAGCATGAGCAGGGGAGGGTTGGAGAGAAAGGGAGAGAGAGAATACCAAGCAGGTTCCGCGCTGTCAGTGCAAAGCCTGACACGGGGCTCAAATTCATGAACTGTGAGATAATGATCTGAGCTGAAATTAAGAGTTGGACACTTAACCAACTGAGCCACCCAGGCGCCCCTGTGCATCTACTTTATACACACACATACTTGCACAGAAACTCTCACACTTCTGCACCTACAAAATTATAATTGACCCTAAACAATGCTGGGATGGGGGCTTAGGGATGCTGACCACCTGCTTAGTCAAAATCTGCATATAACTTTTGACTCCCCAAAAACTTAACTACTAATAATCTACTGTTGACTGGAAGCCTCACTGATAACATAAACAGTCCATTAACATATTTTGTATGTTATATGTATTGCATATTGTATTCTTACAACAAAGTAAGCTAGAGAAAAAATATTAAGAAAGTTATAAGGAAGAGAAAATACATTTATAGTACTGTACTGTAAAAAATCTGCATTATAAGTGTACCTGTGCAATCCAAACCCCTGTTTTTCAAGGGTCAACTGTATAGTGCTTGCTTTTGCTAGAACAGACCCTACAGCTTAATGACTTTGCGTCTTACACATTCTGTAGAATAGGGTTGCCAGATTTAGCAAATAAAAATAAGGATGCCCAGTTCAATTTGAATTTTGGGTAAATTGTAAGTAATTTTAAATATGGCCCATTCAATATTTGAGACATATTAAAAACATGTTGCTTATCTGAAATTCAAATTGAACTAGGCATCCTGTATATTATCAAGCAACCTTACCCAGGAGAAAAATTTATGTTAGTTTCTCAAGTTCTTTTTTTCTTTTTTTAATTTTTTAATGTTTATTTATTGTTGACAGAGAGAGAGAGAGAGAGAGAGAGAGAAACAGAACGTGAGCAGGGGAGAGGCAGAGACAGGGAGAATCCGAAGCAGGCTCCAGGCTCTGACGTGTCAGCACAGAGCCCCACCCTGGGCTGGAACTCAGACTGGGAGATGGTGAGCTGAGCTGAAGTCCCCAGCTTTACAGACAGCCACCCAGGCGCCCCAGTTTTTCAAGTTCTAAATCAAATGACTGTTCCTAGATGAAGTCTTAAGTGACTTTGGGGGGTATGTTGTTTTTTCTCTTTTATACTTTTATATCCCAACAACGTATTCTATCCATGTAAGGTGCTTTATTTTTCCCATTCAGACTTCTATGGGGGAACTGTTTTATGTTCATCTGAATTCCCAATCATGAAGAAGTTGAATGATTGAAATGGTTATTGAGTAAACAGTTACTGAGAATCACTGGGTGTAAGGAAAGAAGGGGAACTAGCATTTGTGAATGGTCTTTGTATGATAAATATGGTGCTCACTGCTTTGCAATGTTTAATGCTCATTAGGGCCCTATTATAAACGGTTGGGCAGTCTTTAGCAGATCACATTCTCTTGAGGCTTATTTGACATAAATAACTGATGTCATTCTTATTTCCATCTTTTTTCTGAGAGCAGATCCTGGGTTTAGTTGGGGTAGATCTCATGTTTCCACAGCAACAATAAGTCCTTTAAGAGTAGAGAGGGACAGGAAGTGCACTTTGCCCTTCCGGTTTGCGCCGGAGAGTTCAGCAACCCGGAAGTGACGCTACCCGGTTGCACATGGCCGCGTCCCGTAAGGATGCCGCTCGTAGTGTTTTGCGGGCTGCCATACAGCGGCAAGAGCCGGCGGGCGGAGGAGCTCCGTGGGGCGTTAGCGGCCGAGGGCCGCGCGGTGTACGTAGTGGATGACGCGTTGGTGCTGGGTACGGAGGACGCGACGGTGTATGGCGATTCGGCCCGTGAGAAGGCGTTGCGCGGGGCCTTGCGAGCCGCAGTGGAGAGGCGCCTCAGTCGCCACGATGTAGTCATCCTCGACTCGCTTAACTACATCAAGGGCTTCCGCTACGAGCTCTACTGCCTGGCGCGGGCGGCGCGCACTCCGCTCTGTCTGGTATATTGCGTACGGCCGGGCGGTCTGAGCGGGGGACCTCGGGTGGCTGATGCGGTGGACCACCGAGGCCTGAACCTCAGTGTGAGTTGGAGGCCGCGCACTGAGGAAAGAGGGAGACCTCTGGCGGTGGGCACCCCTGTCCTCAGGGAACCACAAGCAGTGGACTCTGTAGCAAGCGGGAGAACCCAAGCAGTTGTACCTAAGGAACTGGAGCCGGAGGAAACCGGGGTGCCAGATCTTCCAGCTCCTGTGACTTCAGAATTTGATACATGTGAAAAGCGTATGGTCAGTACCTTTTACTCTCCTGAACTTATGGAGGCACTAACGCTGCGCTTTGAGGCTCCCGACTCTCGGAACCGCTGGGACCGGCCCCTGTTCACCTTGGTGGGCTTAGAGGAGCCATTACCCCTGGCAGAGATACGGGCTGCCTTGTTTGAGAACCAGGCTCCCCCACCGCATCAGTCTACACAGTCCCAGCCCCTTGCCTCCGGCAGCTTTCTGCACCAGTTGGATCAGGTCACCAGCCAGGTGTTGGCAGGACTGATGGAAGCTCAGAAGCGCGCGGTCCCTGGAGACTTGCTTAAGCTTCCTGGCACCACGGAGCACCTGCAGTTTACCCGGCCTTTGACCATGGCAGAACTGAGTCGCCTCCGACGCCAGTTTATTTCCTACACCAAAATGCATCCCAACAATGAGAACCTGCCTCAGCTGGCCAACATGTTTCTGCAGTATCTGAGCCAGAGCCTGCACTAAACAGAGGAGGTGTGGGGGGAAAGCCCTGGCTCCTTGTCTAACCTCCACTGCTCTCTGTGTTTCTTGATAAAGTAATCTGAAGGTCTACAGAGCATGTTGATGTGTCGTACTACAGCTGTTGTGACTGATTTTACTCACATTTTCTTCTGAGTGCCTCTGTTGTGACAGGCCTTGAGTTACAGCATAAATTGAGACTAGAGAAAATGGAGAACTGGCTTGGAGGATCTTGGCAATTTTCTCCAGGACAGAGCTCAGGTGGACAGGATTTGTTTAGATTGGGTTCTACCTGTGGTGTCACACGCCCAGGATTTCCCCCATCTGAATTGTAGGAGAGCAGACTGGATGGATGAATTTTTTTTTTAAACAATTGTGAGTGGAAACTGAAGATGAGACAGTTCTGCATCTGCACTGGCCTTTCTTTCATACCACAGTTTTTAAAGTACTGTGTCTACTTTTTGCTAGTCTGTCCTGGGGCCAAGGGTCACCAATAAATCCACTGGTTTCTGTCCTTGGGAAGCTTTGGTTCTAGTGGAAGCAAAAGACATAACTATTAGAGTTTACATCTAATAAAATCTTTTAGAAGAAAGTCTGCTGGAATCTCTTTTGCTTCGTGTAACTTAATGTTCTTCATGTAATTTACTTAATGTAACATTTAGAGACACATGTATCACTGTTATGCCTTTGACCAAAATAGTACTTTGACAGTGCTTGATGAGAGACTGGATACTTGGTCTAACCTAGAGTGATGATGACAACTTCCATAAGTGTTGCACTTCATTCTTTATTTCAAGGCAAATACCACTTTAAGCTTTTTCATTCTTTCACTGATTTTATTAAATAAAAATCAGCACTTGTGATTTTCAAAGATGAATTAGATACTGTCTTTGCCCTTGAGAAATTAATAGTTTGGTGAGAAATACAAGTAAACATGATTATGGTGTAAAAATGTCGGTGTTTACAGGATAATGACAGAATGGTTTGGGACCCCAGAAAAGGAAAGGACTAATTAGCCGTTGAGAGAAGATAGTTTTGGGAAGGCTTGTAGAGGGGTTAATATTTGAGCTGTTACTGTAGAACATGTGTCAGCAAAGCATCAAATAGTAAATGTTTTAGCCTTGTGGGCCATAGGGTCTCTGTTGTAGCTTATTAGCTGTAGCACATTTTAGCACAAAAGCAACCATATACAATAAGTATACAACTGAATATGAGTACGTATGTGTGTGTGTTTGTGTTTATTTAAGTGATTTCTACACCCAAGCAGGGCTCCAACTCATGACCCTGAGACCATGAGTTGCATACAATACAGCTGAGCCAGCCAGGCACCTCAGTATAAGTGTGCTTGAATACAACTACACCAAAATGTGTATTGTATTTAATTTTCACATATCACAAGGGGGACTATTTTTAGATTTGTTTTCAACCATTTAAACATGAAAAAAAAAAATAGCTTGTATCTTACAGCTCTACAGAAGCAGGCAGTGGCCTGGATCAGGTCTGCAGAGGTTTGCTGATCTCTGCTCTAGAAGGATAAATAAGAGTTTACTAGAGAGGGAGGAGGGAGCAAGGCATTCCAAACTACTCTGTAAGTGCATGGAGCTATTGAAAGGTTGGGCTACCTTGGTGGTGGGTTTCTTGCTCATTAGGCAGTCTGGACCACCTTTTGTTATATTTGATATAGTGGATGTATTATATTTACATATGCTATATTAGATGATATATATTAGAATTCCTGTGTGAAAGGAAGGTTTGGACTAGGCAACTTCTAATGCCTTTTCCAACCTCTGTTCTCAGATTCAGAGTTAGTTATTGGTTGTGGATTGCGATTCTAAATTGAAGTAGACAGTAATGGTCAGAAAGAACATTGGTTTTAGAGTCAGACTTAATGAATTAGGTCATAAATGACAGAACCTAGATTTTATGTGGCCAAATATTTAATCTCTTGGGAGTCTCAGTTTTCTTATTTCTATTATGAGAACGTTAGTAGTATATACATTAGGATTGTTGTGAGGATTTAAATGAGATAATGCCTGTAAAGCACATAGCACAATGTATAATAAATGGGTAGCATATTTTGGTTATTATTATTATTATTATTATTATTATGATTATGGTTACTTAGATCCCACTTCTCACATAAGTTTTTCCTGCTTATTCGGTTTTTACGACTATTAGAGGTACAAATCCACCCCGATTTGTAGTAGGCCTCTAATAAGGTATTGAATAATTCATTTGACAATTAATTATGTGTATTTAGAATAGTGTCTAATACATAGTAAATGCTATGCATTTATCAATATATTCAATAATATCAATAATATTCTATGTGCCACATGTAAGGCATGTAGGGAGAGCTGAGTTCTTTGCTTTAGGGAACTCCCGAGTCTATTGCAGGGAGATGGGTAAGTAATAGAGTAAATATAGTAAATGCAATGATTGTATTGTGTAGTGTGGTGTTACAGGGGTTGTATGATTGAGAAAGCCATGGCTGCTTACATAGGACTTTCCTACAAGTTGGCATTTAAGCCTTGAGAGCTTAAGGACTTCATTTGGCCAAGACTGGTTCAGGTGGATGATGTTGCTCATCATTTTAAAAAAGAAAAAGTTTTTTCCTCCCTGATTATAAAGATTACATTTAATTGTAGAAAAAATGGAAAATATAGAAAAAGTATAGTAAAATCCACAATCCCATTATCTAGGGATAACTATTATGTTTTGGTATATTTCATTTCATTTTAGGGTCTTTCCTCTGTACATAGTTGTACAATTAAATCCAAACTGTAGATGATAATTTTATATTCTGTTTTTTGTTTTTTTGGTTTTTTTAAAGTAAGCTCTTCACCCAACGGGTTTAAATTCATGATCCTGAGATCAGGAGTCACATGATCTACTGACTGAGACAGCCAGGCACCCCATTCTGTTTAATTTGATGTACCAATGAAAAATTTTAACGTTTTCAATGATTATGTAACCATAACATTTAGAAATACTGTAATTTGATGTTTCTTCTACAGTCTTTTCTCCCTAGCTTTAAAGCCCAAATTTGCAGAATTTATAGGAATGTCAGAACTTACCAATAATTTTATTATAATCTATTATTGAATATTTATGTTGCCTAAAAATTTTCTTAATCCAAATCGTACTACCTGAATGTCTTTATACATTAATCTTTGTCTTTATATATGGTCATTTTATTAGGGTAGACTTAAAGAAATGGAATTACTAGATTATAATTCCTTTGTTTTCTTTTCAAGTGGCTTGCCCCTAATGGTGATCATCCATAAGTCCTGGTGTGGAGCTTGCAAAGGTAAGTACAAATAATCAAACCTCAAATGTGTTCTTAAATATTAACATGTAGTTAAAAAAATTAGCACAGGGGTACCTGGGTGGCTCAGTCAGTTAAGTGTCTGACTTCAGCTCAGGTCATGATTTCACGGTTCGTGAGTTTGAGCCCCACATCAGGCTCTGTACTGACAGCTCACATCTGGAGCCTGCTTCGGATTCTGTGTCTCCCTCTCTCTCTGCCCCTCCCTTGCTCATGCTGTCTGTCTGTCTCTCTCTCTCTGTCAGAAATAAACATTTTAAAAAAATAAATAAAAAACATTGGCACAGACTTTTCCCAGCAGTACTGATTGCTCTAAGGAATACCAAAGAAATATATACGACATAGATTCCCTGCCCTCAAGAAGTTTGCAGTTACCTTTGCAAGGGGTTGGAGAGTAAAGCAATTGAGATATGGTTAGGGAGAGTATAGTATTAGTGCTATAGTAGTTGTATAGACAGTAAATACAGGAAGCTGAAGTGTACAGAAACATGAGAAGTGGTTAGGGAAGTCTTTTTGGAGGAGGTGGGAATGAAATTTAGAACCCAATGTTATTTGTGGCACCTATTCTTTCTACTTTGCCATCTTGCCACTTCCCGGTCAGGTTTTTCCTTTTGTTTGGTATGCTACACTCAGCAGAATCCTAGTTGGAAAAGGAGTAGAAAATTAGTGCGAGTAGTGTAGTATATATATATATATATATATATATATATATATATATATATATATATATATATATATATAAAATACACACACACACACGGTAATGTTACTATGTTTTCTGTTATTTCAATAGAAGTTACTGACATGTGGCTATAAAAAGTAAATAGAAATAATTTTTTCATTTATATGCCATTATCTATATTTTATAAATGAAGTAAAAGTTTCAGAGAAATAAAGTCATTCACTCCAGGTGACCTACCTGTGTGAGTAAGTAGCAGAAACACAGCCAGAATTCAGGCGTCCTGATTTCTGGTTCTTGGGAGTTTAAAACAAAAAAGAGTTCAGTTATTTGAATCAACTCTGCAAATTAAGGTTTGGGTATGAAAATGATGTTTTCTTATATTTCAAACTCTTTTTTTCCCTCCTAGCTTTAAAGCCCAAATTTGCAGAATCTACAGAAATTTCAGAACTTTCCCATAATTTCGTTATGGTGAATCTTGAGGTAAGACTTTGGGGGTTTCTCCTTTCTGCTATGATTTTAAGTCTTTGCTGTTTTAGAATTAACATCATTAATGGTGTAAAATCATATTTAGCAGAGCAGGCATCCTGTATGTATGTGTTTTCCTCTTCACTTCTAATAGTAAAGCTTGTGTCAGATGTAAAAGGCCATCCAGCCTCCACTTGTGGGAGGAAGGGGAGGAGAGATTAGCTAAGAAGACCACATTGTAAGGTCCTTCAGTCTTAGTCTATAATTATGACATGTTTTACATCTTTGTATTGCTGAACTAAAGGTATAGTAACACATGCAGGACACAGATCTCTGCAAAATGTGATTCATTTGTGCTGGGCTTGTATGTACAACTTTCCTGTTTCTTCATTAGGTATCCTTTATGCCCTCATTGAAATTATATATGGGGAGTTGAATATGGTGGGACAGGTGAAACAAAATATGTCAGATGGTGGTAAATGCTATGGCTTAAAATGAGGGATGGAGGGGATACTTCGCAATTTTAAATAG